CAGACATACCGCTGTGCCACTGGGAGGCGTAGAATAAGCAACACAATAACTATCATATTTGAATAGCTCCCCCCCCCCCACCTCGGAGACACACTGCTAAAAATTCTGATTTAGATACCCGTGGTAGGCACAGCACAAATAACTTACTGGGTAGATTTGTACTTAAACACAAACAAACATATCTGAATAACTTATATTTTCAAATAAAATGTAGACAATATATTCAACGTCAATTTAGTATATTATGGTGTTAGTATCCATTTCTCCAGTTATCCTATTCAACTGCCTCTTTTCGATGAAGCATAGTATTCATTTCTCCAGGTATCCTATTCAACTGCCTTTTTATATCTCCAGTTATTCTATTCAACTGTCATTTTATATGTCCAGTTATCCTATCCAACTGCCTTTTATATCTCCAATTACCCTATTCAACTGCCGTTTTATATCTCCAATTATCCTATTCAACTGCCTTTTTATATGTCCAGTTATCCTATTCAACTGCTTTTTTATATGTCCAGTTGTCATATCCAACTGCCTTTTATATCTCCAATTACCCTATTCAACTGCCATTTTATATCTCCAATTATCCTATTCAACTGCCTTTTTATATGTCCAGTTATCCTATTCAACTGCCTTTTTATATGTCCAGTTATCATATTCAACTGCCTTTTTATATCTCCAATTATCCTATTCAACTGCCTTTTTATATCTCCAATTATCCTATTCAACTGCCTTTTTATATGTCCAGTTATCATATTCAACTGCCTTTTATATCTCCAGTTATCCTATTCAACTGCCTTTTTATATCTCCAATTATCCTATTCAACTGCCTTTTTATATCTCCAATTATCCTATTCAACTGCCTTTTTCTATGAAGCATTATCTCCACCATCTCGTCTTTTTCAGCAATATAAACGAGACATTATTTTCGTAAGTTCATATTTATGTTTTCTGATCTCTCATTTGATAATTCATCGTAGCAGTACATATTACCTTTGTCCGTTTATTTGTTCATTGCTGAAGTTCGTAATTGCTACGCGTAACATTGGATGGAGTAAAGCCTGTTATTTAGTCGGTGGTAAACCCCTCCAGCGGGTAAATCAAATCAATAATACGCGAGGGGCTTAGCATTTATGCATATATATATAATTTGTTCCAAACTTTTCGATGTGCAATGTCTCTGCGATTAGACTGATGGCTGAAAGAATACACCGTATTCTAACAAAGAATGTTTGTATAATGAAATTGTTTAACGATGTAGAGTAAAAATACGTAACATTTTGAAGAAGAGAAGCTTTAATGTTTTACAAGAAAGCGAGAAAACTCGTACAGTAGAGAGTTTAGGACAGAATCGGTTTCGGAAACCTCACCCTACGCCAATTAAGATCAACGCCCTAATCCATAAATTTTACCTTACGATTACGTACAAAAATTTCCCGACTCAAAAAGTCATTGCGTAGGCACTTGTATTATATACTATGTGATAAACAATAATTTGAAGTCAGCAAGAGCCGCCGGGCTTAACTTGGTGGGTAGTTGGCCCGGACTTTCAATCCGAGAGTTTTTGATTTGTGTTCTGTTACCCCTGGCCCGGCATGGCCAGGTGGTTAGGGCACTCGACTCGCAATCTGAGGGTCGCAGGTTCGAATCCCCGTCACATCAAACATGTTCGCCCTTTCAGCCGTGGGGGAGTTATAATGTGACGGCCAATCCTCCTATTCATTGGTAAAAGAGTAGCCCAAGAGTTGGCGGTGGGTGGTGATGAATAGCTGCCTTCCCTCTAGTCTTACACTGCTAAATTAGGGACGGCTAGCGCAGATAGCCCTCGTGTAGTTTTGCACGAAATTCAAAACAAACAAACTGTTACCCCTTTGGATCCATGGGTGCACTATAAGAATGACAGTCAAATCGCACTAGTTGCTCGGACAAGAGTAGCCCAAGAGGTGGCGCTGGCTATTTAAGAGATGTTTATTATTATTCACGAGACGATATTACTTCTGTTAGTGGAAATCACGATTAGGTAAAATTGGTTTGAACGTAACTGTATAATTGGACAATGACTACATTTTTATAAGTAACATTTTCTAAAATTAAGCATATTTACAGTAATTTGTCATCTGTTCAGTGGCGCAATTTCAACAAAATCTTGGGAGGGGGGGATCAAAGTTGAACCTTGAATTCTACAAAATACATGAACTGTTTGATGACCTAGCACGTTTCAGAGTTCACACATCAACTGTAATAACCACGTAGGAGACAGAGGGTTATGAGTAACAAAAGAAAAACATGTCGACTTTGTACTTTGTGTATATTAATATTAGTAGTAATTTACCATCAAAATAACCAATTAACCAGACGTTTTACATTTCTCAAAAAGAAAAATTTAAGACTTGGGTGTGGTCGCTCTTCCCTAATTAGCGCCACTGTATCTTTTGTAATAGATTCGTAAATAAAGTGCCAGGGAATAGCCACAGACTACTGGAAAATGTCAGACAATTAATATAAAATTTAAGGCAAAATTGTGGAATTTTGTTTCCTAATGAACAACTAAATGTACGAATTTAATGGTCACTGTAACATAAAGAGAAAATCTAAAGCAACAGCTTATAGAGGACTATATGATGCTGCTAAGTTCAAGAACGTCAATCCGTTGAATAAAACTCCAACTAATACAAGAACTTAGAAAAGGGGGGATTGGGATTAATTTTTACTCTTCGAACATCTTCGAAACCTTACCTTCACTTGACTTTCAGACAGACCTAGTGAGACGGCCAGCTTCGTCCTCTCCGGACCTGCTAGGTACTTAGTTTGTTCGAACGTTTTCTCTAAAAAGTAAATCTGTCGGCCTGAAAACGTGGGTCGGGTAGGTTTTCTGCTGCCGTAGTTGGTGCCAAGCAAGTCGCGTTCTCCTAGTATGGAAACAAAATTGTGAAAATATGCTTTAAGCTGTGTGTATGTGTGTTTTTAAGCGTAACAATAAAGAGCAACAATCATTAAGACAGGGTATAAACACAATGATAAGGGTTCATTCTGTAAAGAGCTGAACACATAGATTTGACTGTGTCTGCTGAGGCTAGAAACAGCCTAAAACACATATAAATGTTTGTTAAAGGTATTTGAATGTAAACAAAAACAGAAGGGATTTCAACTTTCGAATCGTGTTCTATTTCTATGTGTATCGTCGTAAGGACAGTAAAATATGTGCGCACAAAATTCATGAAAAACTTACTGTAGATGTATTTGAAAGCAGATAAACCATCTCTAAAACCAATAAATATGTAACATGCAACCGTGGTATAAACAAGAGGGAATCCTCAATAGCCACGGCATTTGAAATTATTTTAGGTAGGATTAGAGTAAATTAATCTATAAGACTTTTTTTTTCCCCTTTTTATTAGCTATGTTTTTGTGCACCTGCAATATCAAGCGTGGGGCGCGTGTATACACTATTCGATTTTACAACTGATCAAGCTCTCTATCTGCCTACCCTCAAATTGAAATTCTTTTAGGCAAGATTAGACTAAATTAATGTATGAGACCTTGAGCGTGGTCAAATGCATCAATCGGGTGGATTTGTTGACCTCCTGCGTCCGAAACTGTAATTAGATCTCAAATCGGTCAAAAGATGATGGAGGTATGAGGTAAAAGATTCTACTTGAAAAAAAAAAAAACACAAAAAAACTCGAAGCCATTCTATGAGTCTCTAAGCCGCGGCGAAAAATTAAACTCAAAAATAAGTCTCATCTGTGGGTCGGATTCCACTGAACTCAGTGTGGCGATAAAACACTCACGCACATAACGTCTCTTACGGTAATGAAAAAAACAACAAAAAAGAAAACTGTGATGTTAATGTATAAGTAACCATAATACATTTCACATTGTAACCAATTTCTAACTAAAAAATGTAGAGAAAGTTCGGTTTGTTTTGAATTTCGCGCAAAGCTCCACGAGGGCTATCTGCGCTAGCCGTCCCTAATTTAGTAGTGATAGACTAGAAGGAAGGCAGCTAGTCATCACCAGCCACCGCCAACCCTTGGGCTACTTTTTTACCAACGAATAGTGAGACTGACCGTCACATTATAACGCCCCCACGGCTGAAAGGACGAGCATATTTGGTGGGACGGGGATTCGAACTCGCAGATTGCGAGATAAGCGCCCTAACCACCTGGCCATGCCGGGCCTTATAGAGAGAAAAAAGAATACCTTTAAATCTTAGATGATTTAAAACTCATAATAAAAATTTGATAAACTACTAAACTACATCTTAATATTACACGAAGATTACACTGACAGTATGAAATATCACACAGACGAAAGATGAAATAAACGTTGGTATGAAGTAAGTTGGTTAGACCCAACTCCAAAAAAAGGTAGTTTCACTGCATTGTAAATAGTATTTGATTATAAACGTATACAACACATATGAAACGTGGAAATAATACTCGTGAATATAAAATACAAGCAAAAGTACCCGTCCCCAGTGAGGGGAAAGTTTAAGTTAATCTATAAATTTAAGTTATTTCATGGACTTTAAAAAGGTTAATTGTGTTGCACTCTTGGTTTCACTCAAAGC